GACACCCAGGCGGCTGGTCCCCACCCCAGCCTTGGGGTCCCACAGGGTCCCTGGATGGGGATGGGGATGCACCAGGGCTGGCCCTGAGAGCATGGGGATGGGGGTCCAGCATCCTGGCAAGGCCCTTGGCAGCCCTCTCCCCAATCTGGCTTTGCCCCCTTGCCCCAAACTGCCCCCTCCAGCCAGGTGCAGCCCAGAGCCCCTAAACCCCAGCGTCCCCAGGGACCCATAGGAGCCAGGGCCAGGCCTGGCAGGTGCCCCCTCTCGGAGCACTGCAGCTGGGGGTCCAGCAGCCCCCAGCCCCATGGCCGCCAGCTGCCTGGCTCTATCAGGAAAGGTGGTGGGGGGATGACGATATTTTGTCACCTCTGTCCCCTTCATATCGGGTAACCACTGGACCTGATGACCACTGGGTCAGCGGAAAAATGGACCCCTCCCCAGGTGGGGAGCCCAGACCCCCATCCCTCACCCCCAGGACTGGGGCCTGTCCGCCCCCTCAGCAGGCACCAACTCGGGCATTGGGGAACCCCCATGGCCACCTGCCTTGGACTCTCTGGACACCAATGGTGCAAGGGGCATGGGGGGAGCACAAAGTGGCTGGGGGGGGGAGAGGGACTCAGCACCCCCCATCCAAGGGCTGCAGGTGCCCAGGGCCCTGTGCTAAGGGATGTGGGCTACCTGGGTCCCCCATGTGGGGGCTGCAGGGTGCCTGGGACCCCCCCCCTCCATGTGGGAGGTAGGGTGCCCAGGACCCTCTGGGCAAGGGCTGGGGGTGTCCAGCACCCTCATGCTTGGGCAGGTGGGGTGCTTGGGGCCACCATGGGTGGGCTGTGCGGTGCCCCATACCTCTGTGCACTATGGGTGCCCAGAGCCCCTGTGTCTGGGCAGATGAGGTGCCCAGGACCCCTGTGGAGGGGAATATGGGAGCCCAGGACCCCCATGTCTGGGGAAGTGGGGTTCCTGCACCCCCCCACCCCACAGGTGCTGTAGGGCAGCCAGGACCCCTGTGCCCAGGGACATGGGAAGTCTGGGACCCCAGGAGCGGGTGCTGCAGGGTGCCAGGACCCTCATGTCCGGCAGGTGCCATGGGGCTGGCCGCAAGCCCTGTGCCCCCCGCCTG